ACCCCCAAAGGGGCTAGCCTGGGGCCTTGGCATGATCTGCAGACCCTCCCTGTCCAGTTGTCCCTAGCCTCTTTTCCCTCACAGGAAAGGGGAGGGGCAGGCTCACAGCCAGGCTGATGGTGTCGGGGTCCCCCATGTGGTCTCCCCTTGGGAAAGGGGTGCCAGAGAACACTAACACCCAAGCCTGCAGGGACAGGGGGCTCACCCAGGCAGCTCCCCACCTCCTCGGGCCAGGACCGAAGCCCAGGAGCTGGTTGCTGAGCCATCCCTCCCCCGTCCATTCTGGGAATGCTGCATACCTGGGTTTCCCCCACACCTTGCTAGGCCCCCATTAGCCTCCGTTTCGCCTTTAATCAGTTGATGGGGTTGGACTTTGGGCAGGTGTTCCGGGAGCTCCACTACAAGAGGGCAGGTCTCCTCCGTGCACGTTGTCCAGCACATAGCAGGAAGTGTAGCATCTCTCTGCCCGCCTGGTAAATGCTAGCAGTGCCCCCGGTCATTTTGGCAACCCCAAACCCCCACGTTTCCCAGTGCCCTCCATCTGCAGTATCCAGTGGGGTAGCCGCTGGCCACATGTGACTGTTTAAATTAAATAACTAACTAGAGAAAAATTTAGTCTCTGGGTCACACTAGCCACATTTCGAGTGCTTCGAAGCTGTGCATCATTGCTAGTAGTTACTGCGCTGGACACACTGGACAGCACAAACAGAGAACATTTCCACTGTCACGGGAAGTTTTAGATGATCTCCAAGACCCTCTCTTTCTTTTTTTTCCCCAGTTTTACTGCGATATAATTGACATAAAATATTGTATAAATCTAAGGTGTACAACATAATGATTTGACTTACGTACATCACAAAATGATGACCACAATAGGTTTAGTGAACATCTGTCATCTTATATAACCAAGGCCCTTTCTGACTCTAAAACTCAGTGTCTCCGTCTCCAAGTAGACGATGGCCTGCAGTCCCAAACCAGATCCTGAGGGGCAGGTCTGCCCTGCAGGCATAATCTGTGTGACCAAAACAAGTGTTTTAAATATTGGAAAATTTCACATGAAATTCTGTCTAGACTTTCTGCTTCTTTTGAAAAGTTGGCTGGTCTGGCCACGCTAGGCCCTCACCAGATGTGGCAGCCTTGGCCCTAGGCAGGGTGCGGGTGTCCTGGCCACCACAGACCCTGCCTCCTTGTGAACACGCCACACGTAGCAGTTAGGAGCATCAATTCTGAGCTGCCCCCTTCGTTGGAGTCCCAACTTGGCCATGTGGGCTGTGTGGCCTTGGGTAGATCAGCTGCCCTCTCTTCACCGGGCTTCTGTGCAGGGTTGGAGAGAGGATATAATGAGTACCTGGTGCACCCTCTGTAGTTAGCTCTGCCTGGCGTCTGCAGATCTGAGTCTGTGACCCAGAGCCTGGGAGAGGCCCTGAGATGCATTTTCAGGGACCATCCCCCCATTTTGCCTCAAGGGAACCACCAGGCATACCCAGGCACTGCAGACCATAGAGGAGGAAACCTCCCCCTTGGCCACGAGGTGGGGCCAGAGCCGTTTGTGAAGGGCACTGCCAGGCAGCCCAGTCCTGGAGCGGAGAGGGGGCGTCCACCCTTGGTGTGTTTTGTGCTGAGTGGCTGCCAGAGCCCGTTTGTAGGAAGGTGGCGCCCCCTGCTGGCACCCTGAGGGAAGTGATGTCCACCCCAGGGAGCCTCAGGACTTTCCTCAGGGCCTGGTGCAGGGGAGGGTATAGAAGATCAAGCCTGGTGGGCTACTGGTCTCTTCCCCCAGGCTTACTAGCCATGTGGTACCCACCCCCCTCAGCTTTTCAGCCTGTGGGACCTTAGCTGAGGTATGCAAATGGGAATTTCTGCTTTTAATCCAAAGAGACAGAAAGAAAACTCAGCAAGAAGCTGGGCTACCCCCACCCCACTCCCCAAACCCCTTTGGGGACAAAAGCTCTAGCCTGGCATCCTCCTCCACCCTCCAGGACCCACACAAAAACCTAAACAATTGGGAACATGGCCAGATCCTAGGTCTGTGCCTATGCCAGTGCCAGCCACGGGGGTCCCACCCGCTGGGCATAGTGCCCACGGGAAGGCCAGCTGGACCGTAGCACTGGGAGGCAGGGCATCCTGGGGGGACAGAATTCCCATAGGAGGGACGGACAGAATAAGGATGTATGTACCTCTGCATGAGGTGTTGGTGTCCTTGGCTCTGCTGGAGCTGGGCCCTCCAGGGACCTCGGAAACCCGCCAGGAGTCACAGGGCCATGTGGGAGTGAGAAGGGACCTGCCCCTGCTGTTCTCAGTAGTGCCTCTTTTTTGTTTTATTTCAGTCCTGGTTCCTCTGATAAGATCGACAAAAGAAATGACAAAATGAAAAGAAGAGGTTCCTCAAACGGGGGGAGAAGAAATTTTGAGACATGGAAAAATCCCCCAGCCCAGCCCAGCCCCACCGAAAAGCAAAAATTAGACGTCGTCAGCCACTCAGCCCTTCTCTCCTCCAGCCCGGGGACCCCTGCAGGCCCCCAGAAGCAGCCCAGTTCTCGGAGAGCCCTCAGAAGAGGTCTCAGTGGAGCTGTGCACCAGCAGCCAAGCAGAAAGAAACATGCAAAACGGACTCTGTCAAGTAGAGGACAGAAAGAAAGGATGCAGAACTGCCTTCCTCCCCCCACATCCCGTCCTGGCCTTCTGGGGAAGGAACAAAATCCCCAAACAAAGCAACCAGCACAATTCTGAAGGGGCCTGCCCCCACCCTCACCCTTCCTAGGGGAACCCCACCCTCGAGTAGGGCCAGAGCTTCACTAGGAAGCTCTGAGGACCAGCTTGTAAAGATGATGGGGGTGCAGATCCAGAGGGCTGTCCTCTCCAGACTCCACCCCTCCCTCCCTCACTGCCTTTGCCACTGGCTTCTTCCCCCAGCTGCTCTGTTCTGGGTGAGGCAGGGTGGCCTTGATGTCCCCCGGCCCCACTCTTGAGCTAGAACCCCCACCTCCCCGTGGACAGGGGGTTCTCCTGGAGCTAGTTTTGTGCTCCTGGAATGGAGAGTTTTCTACCACCCAACCCTGAACTGCAGGGGCAGTTCCTGGGGCCCCAGATCCCTCTGTACAGTCCATAGGAAAAAGTCTGGATGCTCTCGATGGCCCATCCCAGCCTGGGACAGGACCCATCTTCCCTCTCTCCTGAGGCAGGCCAGGAAGGTCTCCCCCCTGCCATGCCACAAGTGAGGGGAGGCGGGCCCCAGGTCGACCCCACACCCCAGCCCCGCATGCAGGTGCCCTCGCTCCGCCCCATCGGTCCCTGCCCCTGCCCCTCATGCAGACAGCCCTGCTGTGGCCGGGCCCGGAGAGTGGAGCAGAAAGGGGACCCCGGAGCCGAGCGAGGAGGACGAGGCAGTCGCCGCTGCCATCCGCTAAACTGCCACCTGCGCTAGGTAGGCGTCCTACTCGCCGACTTTCAGTTCCTTTGGAGGGTATTGGGTGTCGTCCTTTTTCAAAAGTGTTTTGGAGCTTTCTCTGCGCCCCCACCACTTTCCCCACCAAACCACCCTATGGCCACTTCTCTCTGGATTTCAGCTGTAATGTCTTTACTCTTTATTTAGGGGTGGGGCATTCATTGTTTAGGTCTTTTGCTGTTGCAATTGGGAACTCCTCCATTTGAGCAACTTGGGAACAATTTGATAACACACCACAGGAAGTAGCTCTCTCCTCTGCCCCTGCAGCCCCCTCCTCCCCCAAGGGATGGTTGGGGCCTGTCCAGAGGGTCTTCAGAAGCCCCCCTGGGAGGGAGGGGAGCAAGAGCACACCCAGCCCCTGTCCAGGGTGTGACTTGGCCCCTCTGGCTTGTCTTTCTGTGCCTTACTCCCTGATCCCTGCATCTCCCTCCTTGGCCCCCTACTGGAGTCCTTGTGCCTCTCTCTCTTTCTCTCTCCTTAACTGTATGAAAACACAAAGCACAGGTCGGGATCCTCTGAAAGTCAATCAACCCAACATTGCACCACATAGGGGTGGGGTATGGGCTTTATTTATTGTGAATCTAGTTTGTGAGGCTGTGGCCCCAAGCACAGGGAAGGAAGGAGAGGAGGGAGGTGGCTGGGGAGAGGAGGGCCCTTACCTGGGGCAAAAGGGGCCAGCAAGAGGTGCCTCCTCCCCAGCTGGAAGCCACAAGATGGCTGGCCCCAGGGGTGGCTTTTGTTGGAAGTTGAGCGAAGCCCTCCCCTATCTGTGTGCAGCCCTCCGGGAGGACCGGGTCTGAGAAGCAGGGGTAGGGGATCCCACGGGAGCCTGGGGGGTCGTGGGGAGTAGGGCAGGGGGGTGGGGGGCCGGGTGGGCCGGGCGTGACGCGCGGTCAAAGTGCAATGATTTTTCAGTTTGGTTGGCTAAACAGGGTCAGAGCTGAGAGGGGAGCAGAAGAGACCCCCCCTGCCCCCCCTGCCCGGCCGCTCGCACCCTTTCCCTCGAAGACAATCGGGGCCGCGGGCGCGGTGGGCCGGGGGTGGTGGGGGCAGGGGTCTGCGGGGCACCCGCCCAGGCGAGGTCGGAAGCTGCAGGCCAGCTGGGCCGGGGCGGGAGCGCGCCCGGCAGGGCTGCCCGGGTGGGCATGGGGGTGGGGGGCCGCTCCTTTCCCAAGTGTCGTCGTGAGGGGCAGGCGAGGGGCGATGAGGGCGACAGGAGATGTGGGGACGTATTAGATGAGAAAAAAACCCACAAAAAATATATATGGGGGAAATGAACTTTTTTTTTTTCATTGAACCAAGTGCAATGCATCAGAGAGTTTTCCTATCTTTGTATGTTAAGAGATTAAGAAAAAAATTTCTATTTTTGTTGTAATGTCCTCGCGGCTCTGGGGACGCTAAAAGAACCGGGCCTGCCCTGCCCTGCGCGGGGATAACGAAAGCTGAGTGTTTTTTCCTTTTTTTTTTTTTTGTTCGTTTTAAGCTTTTTTTTTTTTTTTAAGTCGTTTTCCTGCGTTGACGAGGATGATCTGGGGTTTTTATTTGTTTCGTCGTTTGTTCTCGGTTTCGGTGGGAGGGCTGAAGGAAACGTTCACATTTTAGGATTTTAAAAAAAACACCTCGACATTAAAAAATCAACACAAGTTCAAAAAGGAAAAGGACGAGAGAAAATTATTTTAAAGATAATTCAACATAAAAACCCTGGTGCTTCTTACATTATAAAGTACGTTTTAAAAAACCCACAAACTATTATACATAAGTTTATGAATCAATTAAATATCCTGCACTTGTTAGGAACACGCATATCCCTTCTTTGTTGAGTTTAACGGAACGGGACAGCGGCGTGCGCCCGGCGGCGGGCTGCTCTGGCCGCGGGTCTCCCCGGGCGCCCTTCCCTGGGGCCCAGCGCCCCCACCTCGCCCCATCCCCGTCCGGGTACCGGGGCGCGGCGGCGGGTCCCCAGCCCCTCCCCCGCAGAGGTCAATGCCAACGAACAAACGTCCCCTCCCTCCCTCTCCGCCCCGAGCGTCCTTCTTTGAGCCAGACGCCAACTTGACCCTCACCAGCATTATCAGAAGCGCGCTCAGCAAGTTGGTAGTTTCCTCCCCCACCCCCTTCCCTGGCGCCCACGACTCAACATCACTCCTCCCACCCCACCCCACCCCCGTCACCCTCCGGGGAGCACGGGGAAGGCTCGACGCTCCAGGACAGGACCAGCCAAGTTGACAGGTCGATTCGCCCAGGCCCGCGCCCACACGCACGCACACACACGGCCCCGCACACAGCCCCATCCCACCCTGCAACCAACCCCGTCGACTGCCTTACACACCCGCCCCCGCGCTGGCCGGCCGACCTAGTGCCTTGTTCTCACCCCCGTGCTGGCGGAGCGGACGCCGCGCTCTGGGTCCCAGAGGGGCCGGGTGGCTCAGACGACCCACCACTTACCCACCCCGACCGTGCTGAACGGACCCCCCCACACACACACACGAGAGAAAATAAAGGAGCAATAAAGTCACGAGAACTTTCGTCCCCTAATCGAGAGCCCGAGGGGCACCCCAGCCCCGCCTCTGCTCCCCACCCACCCACCCTTGGGGCGCCCCCCTACCCCCGCAAGCCAGCCTGGGCCAGCCCCGCTTCGGCCCCGGGAGATCCGTGCGCCCGACCAGCACCAGCATCGCGGACCGCAAAGGCCGCCCGTCCCGTCAAACAAGTTTCTTCTTAGGCTAAGAAACGCAGTATATACGAGTATCTCTATATATAGTACTAATGGATTTGGTGTGCTTCCCCCTTAGCGTCCCCTGTCCCTCCGCTCCTCTTCCTTCAGCCTGGTCTCCCCTTCTCTCTGCCCTCCACCCCCGTCTCTGCACTGAGATACATAAGAAACAAGGGTAGTTTACTGTCTGTTTTGTTTTCTGGGTTTTCAGTGTCCTAGCGGAATGCAAGTAGGCAGCCAGCCCGTACGTTCCCTCTCCGCCCCACCCCACCCCGCCCCGCCCCCGTCACTGCGCTTCTGTTATACCATCTTTGCCTGACTCTCTCCGGCTTCTCCATTGAATGGCTAATGTGTATGTGAAATAAAGAAATAAAGAAAAACAAAAGCAAGAGCGCCTGAGCCTTCGCTAACGTGATCGTGCGGGACAGGGTTGGAATCGGTGGGATGGGGCCCCCTCGTGGATTCTGCGCCTCCCTCCACGCGCAAGGCGGGCAGCTGACACCGTCGAGAAGCGCGTATCTCTGAGTCTCCGGAAGGGGGCGCCGGTAAGAAAGGAGAAAGCTCTCCCGCCCCTATCCACCTCCCTCGGTGACCCCAGCACGGAAAAACGAGGCACCACTTGGGTCCGATGACCGCTCTGACATGTTGGTTCCCGGACCTCGCCCCCGGGAGGGGGACGCGGACGAGGCCACTTCCAGCGGGCAGTGGGTGATAAAAGGGTCTGCAGGACCCCTGGGGGCGACGGTCGCCCTTCCAGGCCCCGGGGCCTTTTCCCCTGTAGGGGACGTCCTCAGTGGTCCCTCTTCGGGGGAGTTCGCTCCAGAGCAGGCGCTGCGCGTCTTTCACCCCCTCCTGGACGGCGCTGGGCTGAGTGACCCTCAGCTCAGACGCAACACCGTGGTGGTCACCGCACCTCTGGGCTCACGGCCGCTTGTTCCGTCTTGATGGGCCGGGCTGCCCCACCGGGGCTGCTATCGGGGCCGGCCGGGGGCGCGGGCTGCGGGCGCACCACCGCCTCGGCCCTGCGACAAGGCCCGCGGCGGGCGCCGTCGTCCAAGCCTCGGTGCGCGGGCCTTTTGCGTGGCCCTGGAGGGGCGGAGCCTGCGGCCAGAGCGGCCGCCTGGTCTCGCAGCAGCCGCACCAGGAAGCCAATGTATTTCATGGCAAGGCGGAGCACCTCGTTCTTGCTCAGCTTCCGGTCGGGCGGATGCGTTGGTAGCAGCTTCCTGAGCTCGGCGAAGGCGCCATTCACATTCTGCTGCCGCCAGCGCTCGCGGCTGTTGGTGAACACGCGCCGGGCCACTTTCTGGGGCTGGTGCCCTACGGACAGGAGTGGCCAAGTTGGCACTACGGCCCAGGGAGTGCCCCGCCTGCCCTTACTTCAGGCTACCAGCACCCTCGTGGAGACGTCACCACCAGCAGTGGTCTGGGGCTCTCACCACCCAAGAAATCCACGTAGGATCCATGTGCAGCTCTCCTGCCACTTAGCAGCCCAGAACCCCACCCCCAAGCCGCCTAGACAAGGCCCATGACAGGCCCAAGCTGCAGATGACTTGGAGCCTCCTGCACTTCTATCCACACATTTATGTCAATGGCTGAGATTCCCTAGAGAAATGTCTCCTGTGGCTGCCAGTCTGGGTAGCTGTCCCTGTGGTCATTATTCTGTGTGTGCTCCCTGTGTGTTTCTCTCATTGTGACTGTGGTTCTGTTCATGTCTCAGGTGGCGGTATGAACTCCTGGTATATCTAAATGGCTATCGTGTGTGATCACTGCCATGTGGTTGTGGTTCTGTGGCTAATTCCTGCGTGGCCACGAACCTCAGTGACTGGAGTTGTGTATCCGTCTCCTGTGTGGTTGTGGTCCTGTGGCTACCTCGTGTGGCTGCGCATTTGAGTGGAGCTGTCATTTTATAGCCCCCATGCCATACTGTGTCTTGCCATGATTCTTTGTGGCTTGTTGGGTGGCTGTGGTTGTGTGGAACTGGCCATGGGTCTGTGGTTTTGTACATGGGTGTACCCTGAGTACTGAGCCCCAGTGCGGGTTGTCCTGTATACGTCTGTGTGCACTGGCAGCATCTCTCCCTGTGGAAGGCTGTGGGACAGATGTGGGCCCCAGCACATGGCTGTGCACACGCAAACCCATACTCACCCTCAGCCAGCTCCAGCTCACAGTGGCTTGGTCTCCGCTTCAGCCGGCTGCTAGGGAAGATGCTGAAAGGTCCTGCCGGCCCAATGTAGAGGCTGTAAGGGGTCGTGGGTCACTAATGCCTTGTGAGTAAGGACCCTGGCCCCGGACTCCCCCCCCAGACCCCAGTCCCCCACTGACCTGTTGAGGAAGGGGTGAGGGTGGTAATGCAGGGTCAGGGGGGGTGGGGCGGTTCCCAGGGCGGAGAGTTGCAGCAGCGGGGGCCGCAGGGTGCTTAGTTCCGTGGTGGCCACAGCTGCCCCTGGGGGCCTGGTGTGGCCCAGGCTGATGACTGGCACACCAGGGGGCAGCCTGGGTGGTGAGGAATCTCCGTGGCCCATCTCCTCCACCTTTGGGGATCCAGGTGAGGCAGGCTTTGGAGGCGGGGCAGGCACTTGGCTGGAGGCACACACCATCTTGGCCTTTTCCGTCATGGTGGGGCCCACCTCTGCCTGGGCCTGGGGCGGGCACATGGAACCCGAGGGAGTGCTTACCTGTGAGAGGAAGGAAGCCAGTGGAAAGGGGGGAATCAGATGCCACCCCCAACCCTTGGCCCAACAGAGCCCTCAGATGGGAGGGAGAGGGGGGCATGGCAGTTCGGTGGGCAAAGGTAGGTGGGGGTGGGCCCAGAAACTACCAGGACATGGAAGGGGGTCCAACACAGGGGCAGGAGGTGCCCACTGAGGCAGTGGGCATCAGTGAGCTCAGCAGTGCTGCTTCTGAGCAGTTTGTGACCCAGGAGGGCCTTAGTCGCAGAGCCCTTGAGCAAATGTCCCTTCTTACAGAATCCTCTCTCACCTGGTGCCTGGAGGGAGGGGCAGAGAAGCCATGACGGACCTTGTGACCACAGAATGCCCCTATAACCCTCACATCTGATCCCAAGACCGTTCATTGACACCACGTGACCTTGGAATCCCTCCATGATTGACTGACTCTTCAGTGACCACCACCCCTAGTCTGACCATGTGGCCCTCAGCTGTGACCCTGAGGCTCTTCCCATTCTCCATGTCAGACCCTGAAAGGCCTCCATAATCATTCCAGTGACCACCATCCTCACTGAAAATGTCCCTCTTGCTAACCCTGTGACCCCACTGCTGACACTATGACTCCAAATGCTGCCCCTACCGCCTAGCACATACAGTCGTGCTCCAGTCCTCCCTCTGGCTCTGATGTCCCCTCATCGTCCCTACCCTGCCATTAGCATCCACCCTTTTGCACCCTGCTTAGACATCCCTGTTCACTCCAGGCCTTGTGGCCTGGAATGCTCCAGCAATGTCTGGGATTCCTGGCCCTTCTGCCCTGTCTTCCCTAAACTGGGGAAGCTGGGCCTGGCCTCTCTCTTAGGGGGCCCCCCAGATGAATGAAGGAAGGAACGCATGAATGAATGAAGGTGGGTCCAGGATCCCCCACTTTCAGGCTCACTCCACTCTTACCCCAGCACTAGTCCGGCTGCTTGCTGATGGCCCTGGCTCTGTCCTTCAGGGCCAGGATGGGGTTCCGGATTCAGACAAGGCTCCACTGCCCCGCTCCAGCCTCTGTGCTCCGTGTGGCTGGCAGCCGGCCTCCCTGTCCGGGCCTCGGCATCGGGCCGCCCCTCTTCCCTGGCTCCCAAGGGCCACCGCGGCGGCGGCAACAGCGTAGGTCCCTCTAGGGAAAGTTAGCAGCTCCGGGCCGCCCGCCCTCTCCCCGCCCCTGGCGGCCCGGTTTCCTCCCTCTCACCCCTGGCGCAGCGGCCGGAGGATGCTGGGCCAGCGCAGATAAGGGCCTGGCCGCCTGGCCGCGCCTGATAAGGAGCCGGGCTGACCCTGGAGGAAACCGGCGGGCGGGGATCTCCGACCGTGGGCCTCACGGCCCCACCCCCAGCCAGCACAGGCAGGACTGTCACCCCTCAGGGCCTCACCTTCCGTCTCCCCAGGCACTGGAGGATCCTGGCCCCAGGGCACACCCCTGGGAGTCAGGTGCCCAGCTGCATGCAGAGGGGAAACCGAGGCAGGGATGCAGTGGCCTGTCACTTGGATCTGTCTTCCAGCTTTGAATATCCCTTGCCTGGGTGTCCGTGCCGATGAGGGTGGACGAAAGCCCTTTCCGGCCCTGCTGGGGCCTCGTGACCCGGGGCCCCCTTCTCCTCCTCTCTTCACCCTGCCTGGTTCCTCTTTCTACAGAGTGCCTCCCCGCCTTTCTGCCAACCCCACCCTGGAGTGGGGCACCGGCTGAACGGCAGTTCTAACAGTCTGGCCTCGGGTGTCCAGCCTGGGCAGGTGTCTTGGGCCCCCAGTGTACTATCCACACCACCTTTCCAGGTCCAGCAGGGTGAAAGGAAGTGCCACAGCTGGGAGATTTCCTAGGGTGTTAGAGCTGGCAAAACCTTCCAGTAGGTGCCCCCATTGGGTCCCGTCCCCACAATTCTGGGCTTCTATGTCACAGAATCACACGGCCTCAACCCAGAGGTCCCTGGCCCTCTGTGCGGGCCACTTCAGGGGGGACAGTGATAAAGGTGTTGGGTAAACATCCTGGAATGGTGGTAAAGCTCAAGATGCCGTGGGACCCCACAAAGGGAGGGGTGCCGGGTACAACTAGGTAAGCAGTGACAAAACTGTTCCTTATTCCAGCACCCTCCCACCTGGGTCAGTCATGCTTTGCCCAGTGAGTACCAGGGTGATTGCTGAAGCCCCCAGGCAGGTCCTCAGCTGCCACCTAGCACCAAGCTATCACAACCCTCTCATGAATCAAGTGAAGCCCAGTATCCCACAAGCAACCAACCTATTGTCCTAAGAGTACAGTTCTAAGCACATGAGTTAACTCTGGTATCCCTACAAAGTGAGGGTTCTGGAATTAGGTTCATTTTACAAATGGGGATGAAGCAAGGTGAAGGATGGCTTTGCAGGGTTCTATAGCTACCACGTGGCAGGATGGGGATTCGGCCCCAGGCCTCTCCTTTAACGTTGCCAACCCCCTGCACTGGGGTGGGGGAGCGGGGAGCGGTTCTGCAGCAGCCTGCCGGGTGCCTCAGTGCGCAAGCCCAAGGGGCCGCAGGGCAGGAAGCACCTGGTCTGGAGCGGATGCACAAGGCGCCTGGTTCCGGTCCAGCTTCCGCCACCGGGGCCCTGGGGGGAGCTGGGCCAGAGAAACCAGGCGGAGAGGAGGCGGCGGCGCTAGTCCACATGGGGGCGCAGCAGCCGCCTGCACGCGTGCCTGCGTCGACGCGGGGAGGGCTGGGGGTGGGAGGAAGGGAAAGGGGGTAAAGGCCTCCGCGGGCGTGAGCGCACGGCTGCCGCCCAGTGGCCGCCTCAGAAACCGCAGGCGCCATCAACGAGGCGGCTAAGTGCCTGGAGCAGCAGAGGTAGACCATCTTGCCCACCCCCAACCCCACGCAATACAGACAGAACACCTCATTCAGGCAGGGACAGACCAACCCCATATTCCCAGAGCGCCCCAAGGGAGTTAAAACAGATGCACAGAGGAACAGACCCTAGACAAGCAGCTGAAGAGATGGACAAGAGACCCTCAGGCAGATGGACAGACAGACCACAGGCAGCCTCCCCATTCAGACAAATGACAGTCAGCGAAAGGTGGTGAGTCTTTATTGGCTCAGTCTACACCTGGACCAGCAGCAGCCCCAGGCCCAGGGGAATTCTGACAGTCAGAGGGGGTGGCTTCAGTAGTGACCTTGGATGTCGGGGGGCTATGGGAGTAGCAGCACTGGTCCCCCCGTTGACAGGTGCCCTGGTGGGAGTATGGAGGTTGTGAATGAACCTTGGCCTGGAACTCGGCCGCCTCCGTTGGGTTCCTCTTCTGGATGGGGAGCTCACTCCCACACACTTGCTTGGCCCCAGTTTGCCCAGCCCTGCCTGCCGGTTGGCACTGCCCTATTGCTGGGAGGGGAACCCATGTGTGCTTCAGTGAAGGTAAGGGAAGCCTCACCTCCTTGAACCTCTTGCAGGGAAATGTCTTGAGCCGAGCAGCCTGCTGGGCTGGGTCCTCCGCCGGCTCTTTTCGCTTATTCTGGAGCAGCCTGCGTCTCTCTTCCATAGCTTCGCCAGCTGCCTTGCCTCTGTGTAGGGAGTCGAGTAGCTGGGACTCCACTTGCTTTTGTGCCGACTCTCCCCTACCCCCCAGGCAAGCCCCACCCACATCCTACTCCCACTCACCCTGGACGGGCCCGCGGCCGGGGACCCCAGTTGGCCTCAGGATTGGCCTGGAAGCGCTTGAGTCCTCTCTGGCGGGAGCTGGGGTTGGCATCGTCCCGGATGGTGAAGTTGGCCTGCAGCCTGGGGAAATGGGGGTGGGGGCTGAGGGGCCGCAGCCATGTGGGCAGGAACCCCGCCTCCCCTCCACCCAGGCCTGCCCAATGCAGTGCAGCTCCTATGTGCCTTGGAAAAACCATGTCTGCAGATGTCAGGATTCTATCATTCATTTAATAAACATTCACTGAGTGCCCACAGTGTGCCTAAAATCTGCCACCAGTAAATCTGACATTCTAGTGCACAAGACCGACAAGCTAAGGGACAAATCAGAAACCAGTAGATTACACTGTGTTAGGGCATGAGATAAGAGTTTGGGGGAAAAGAGCAGGGTAGAGGGAATGGGGAGTCAGGGGAGAATGCATCACAGGACAGGGCAGCAGGGACACATGAAGAAGGTGCGGGAAGAGCCATGTGGAGACTGGCGGATGGCACTCCAGGCAGAAGAAACAGCCATGCAAAGGCCCTGAGGTGGGCTGTGCCTGGTGAACTTGAGTGAGGCCAATGTAAAGTGAGAGCAGGCACAGATGACGGCAGGGAGGTGATGGGGAGATAGTGCAGGGCCTGCAGGTAGAACTGTGTTTCTCTTAAGTCAGGTGGGAGCCACTGAGTGTTTTGAACAGAGGGACCAGATCTGACATGCTCACAGGTGCCCTCTGGCTGCTGTGGGGAGAAAAGACTGTGGGAGGATGAGAGCTGGGAGACGAGGGTGAAGGGATTTGTATTGATGTCCCTGAGCAGTAGTGGAGCCAGAAAAGGGTGAGGGCAGAAGGGAGAGAAGTGGATGGATTCTGAATCCCACTTGAGCAATGAGCACACGTGTGGGGGTGGGGGGAGCTCTGTGTTATCTGCTTCCCATGCCCGTGCCTGTACCTGGGCTCCACACTGAGAATGCGGAACGCCGGACTGGTCTCCGACAGGCGCTCCCGTTTCACTGGGCACTCCTTCTCCTGGGAGGCAAAGGTCAGAGGTCAGGGGATGCTGGGACCGACCATTCCCTGCCTTCTCAATTCCATCTGGTCAGGCCTGGCCTCACCCAGCAGCGCATGATGTCCCAGAGGGCGGAGGAGGGGGCATCTGTCTTCACGGCATTCTTACAGGCGTGGGAGAGTGAGACCCGGAAGCCAGCGTGGAGGAGGGCCGACCTAGGGATTGGGACGGACGGTGAGGGGGAGGCTGGATCCTGAAGTTGGTGTTGACCTGTGTGTGTGTGAGCCTTGTTTCATGGACACGGCTGCACATTTCACAGTGGCTGTGTGGCCTGCATAATGCCAGCAATCTTAACAGTACAACTCTCCCCCTGGCCAGAGCTCATGCTTCTAAGTGCTGTTCTAAGCACTTGGGTGTGAGAAGCCCAGACCTGGGTTATGTTTGACCTCCATTTTAAAGGGGACTCTGGCCCGACAGGGGCCCAACTTGCCCAAGGGCACCCAAGGGTCAGGCACCAGCTCCACCCTAGGCCCAGCCCTCACCGCAGCTGCAGGAGGCTGGGTGTGCTGCAGTGAACGGTGCTGCTCAGCTGGTCCAGCGTGTAGTAGAGAGGAACGTCTGGGAGCTCCTAAGAGGGGAGACGGGATGGAGGAAGAACAGCTGGGCTCGGATGGAGCCCCCTCCCGCCACGGCCCCTGTCCTCACCTCGGTGATGACACTCAGGACGCCCCGGATCCGCTCAGCTGTGTGGAAGCGGCTGGGGTTGGCGCTCACAGCCTCCAGGACATGGCCCACGAAGTCCAGGTCATGGAGGGGCTCTGCCCACAGTGGGCCACCAAGCTATGGACACACAAGGACTGGCTGAGTAGGGACAGTGACTGCCAGGACCCCACGCAGCCCCCTGGCCTCCCCCCTGGCAAGCCCCACCTGGTGTCGCTGCCCACAGTGCTCACACTCGGGGGCCACTGGGGGGCCACAGGCTGCAGAGAACTTGACCCTGCACAGAGAGGGGTGGTTGGGGGTGGCAACCCTGGCTGGGACGCCCCCTTCCCCTTCCTCCTCAGCTCACCCTTGCTCACCGGCCACCGGAGGCTCCTGATGCTTTGCCGAGGCGCTGGAGGTGGAAGGCCCCACAGCCCACACACTGAAACACCAGCGCCTGCTTGCTGTGGGGGACAAGGGTGGTCACCACACCCCAACTCTTCCCTCAGGATGACCTGGTGCCCTTAGGACCCCCATTTCCCCTGGGGCAGGACCATGTCCCCCCCACCACCGGCCGCGCTGCCCCCAGACCCCAGGAAAGTCCCTGTCACCTCCCTCATTCCACTACCCCTCCCTGCCCCAGGCTAACCTGGCTGAGGCCTTGACCTTGGCCTGACCAGTGAAGACTCGAACAAAAACACGCACATAGAAGTCAGCGCTGATGCTGAGCAGCGGCACCACAAAGCGTTGGTAGCAGTTGGCACGGAGGTCCAGGCTGTGCAGGACGATCCTCAGGGCCTGGAGGTGGGTGGTGCCAGCCATCAGCCCTGCCCCCACTGCCACCTCCCCGCTTACCTGGGAGCCACACACACAAGGAGCTCACAAGCACAGGGTTAGGGCTGGCTCCCTGGGTTTCAAGCCCAGCCCGGAGTGACCCCTGGCAAGTAATGGCCTCAGTTCCCTCATCTGCAATATCACAAGAGTATGTCTCTAAATGATTATGGAACACGTGGGCCCAGTAAACCGAACCCATTCCAGTTAACACGGTCAGCCTGCCCCATGCTGTGTGATGTGGCCCAAGGGCCTACATTCTGGACCCTCTGGGTGCTGTGGGCAGGATGTGGAGACACTGGGAACCGCAGAAGTGCTGGGGCCTTCTCCTTCCCAGGCACTGCAATGAGACTCTGACATAGGAGGCACCGTTTCCCAAACTGACCTGATGACGGAGCCTTTAAGGAACAAGAATAGGAGCCCTCCTTTCTTGAATCCTCACAGCAACCCGTGGGGTCTGGGGTATCATCACACCCATTTCACAGATGTGAAAACAACAGAGGCCCAGAAAAGGTGAAGTCACCTGCCCAAAGTCACCAGCAAAACTAGGACTTGAACCCAGAGCCAAACCCAGACCTGGAAAAACTGCCTTTAAAAACAATTTTTGCAAAGTTGTTAAAATAGAGAACAGTAGAAAGAATAATGGAACCGCCTGCTCCCACCCTGGGCAAAGCTACTGTCTCCCACCCAGCCCACCCCGCCCTGCCTCAGATGACCATGACTGGCAGCCCACATGCTTGGGAACTATGCTGGTTAAAGAACGTGCTTGTCGTCAACACCCTGAGATGGACCGGGCCCTGGCTGCCTGGAGGAAGCTGAGCAGGTCTAGCAGATGGGGATACCGGGGGATGCCTCACCATCTCATGGCAGGCCCGGCTCTTGAGGGCCATGGCCCCGTACTTGCTATAGCATGTCTCCCCGCTGTTCCCCGCCAGCACTGCCATGTCCGTGCAGGTCACACACAGCAGCCCTGTGGGGAGAGACTGGGCAGTGAGAACCCTCCAGTGCCGAAGTCCTGCTCTGTACATACCCCTGCATCACGCTAGCCTCACCTCCTTCGCTCACAGCCTGCACAGCTGCATCCAGGAAAGGGGCGGGGCTGCCGTACGGATCCAGGTCGATGACGTCAAACCGTTCCGACGCCTTCTGGTGCTGGTACATCAGCATCCTGGGAGCAAAGGACCAGGTCCTCAGCCTCTGGCACCAGGGATCTGCTCGGTCCCCTATACACGTTCACTCGTGTGATGGGATGGTTTTGGCCTGGAACCGAAGGCCAGCTGCCCGAGTTGAGATCCTGGCTTAATCATTTTCTAACTGGATTAACTTTTCCTCCCTGGGCCCATCTACCATCTCATGATAGCAATAATAATAGCCAATACTGATGTAGCAAGTATATACCTGACACTGTCGCAAGCACTTTATAGATGTATTATCTCACTTAATCACAAAATCTTCCATGGATTTGGAATTTTGTTGTTCACTGCAGGTGAGCAAATAAAAACGCTACTTTCTCAACATCCTACCCTGACCATGTTCTTTAAAACTACAACCCCCAACCTCCCCTATTTCATGTACCCCATATTTTTCCCCCAAGCACTTGTCACCTCTAGTTTACCACATAGTTTATTTATTTGTCATGATTATTTGTTATCATCTATGTTTCCTATTAGATTCTAATGGGGTCAGGAAAGCAAATATTTTTAATTCACTTATTTTCTGTACAGGGTCAGGTAGTAAATATTTTAGGCTTTGTGGACCACATGTGGTCCCTATTGCATATTCTTCTTTTTCTAAACCTTTAAAAATGTAAAAAACAATCTTAGATGGCAGGCCATAAAAAAAACAGGCTGCGGGCCTCAGAGGCTGTAGTTTGCTGACCCTTGCATTAGGAACTCCACAAGGTTGGGGATTTTGTCCGTATTTCCTGATGTAGTCCTGACACTGAGAACAGTGCCTGGCACACAGCAGATACTGAATACACACTGGTTCATTTGACTGAATAAAAGTACAAGAAGTTAAATCTAAAATGGAGACATAATGGTACTTATTTCTAGCCTCTGAGCGTGAACTATACACGTGTTATCTCAGTCAGTACAGCAATCCCTATAAAACTACCGTCCTTGTTTTACAGACAAGGAAACTAGGGTTTAGAGACGCTAAGGCCACAAGAATATGACACATCCAGGATTTGACCCCAGGCAGCTTTGCTCCAGAAAGTGCCTTCCAGTAGCCAGGCTCTGCTGCCCAGAACCTACCGGGCATCTGCCTGGCTGGGCTGTACCAGATGGGCCACATCATTGAGCTGCACATTACGGCGTATGAGATCCACGGCTCGGGCAGAGGCATCGTTGGCAACCACGAATTGGAGTCCAGGCACCTCTCGCGCAAAGCGAATGGAACGTAGGCCCGAGGCTGCCAGGCCCTCCAGCACTCGCAGGCCCTCCTGTTGGAGTAAGCAGGGAGCCCCGACTCACGTCAAGGGCTCCATCCTCTGCTGGGCCCCAAGGGGCCCCCACCACCCACCTCCTATAGCTCTCCCCTTCCAGGAGCCTTCCTTCCTTTATCACTCACTGCACTTCAGGGCTGCCACATCCTATGTTCAGGCCCCACCTCACAGATTTCCCCCACAGCAGCTGTTCGAGGTTGGTCTCCTGGAGCCAGGTTTGCACTCTCTTTCAGTTCAGCCTTGTCGTCCTCTTGCTCCGACAAGTCCACGACCACCTTTTGCACATCCTTTTCGCCTGGCACCTTGACTGCAGCCACCCAGAAGCACAAGTCAGGGGATATCAAAGCTCCCTCTAAGAAACCTCCCCCTACTTTTCAGAATACAGAAGATTCAGGGAAGAAAATCTCCCCCAAAGTCCCTGGAGAAAGGCTAAGGTGCAGAGCCCAGGGCACGCTATATGGCTGGAGCCTTTCTGGAATTTAATGGGGAGAAGGCGTGGGGCAGGGAGAGAGCTCTGTGTGACACCCCTGCCCACCAGGAGCCTGGACCTCCACTCACTCTGGATTCCTTTGGCCCCCAGCTGAATGCGAGCAAACTCGGTGATCACAGCACATCTGCGGGAGATGGACAGTCAGCTCACATCCCCTTATCTTCGCAGACCCACTTGCCCTCTGCCAACCTGACCCCGGACCCCTGCTCACGTCAGGTCCCGGTTGAACTCCTGTACTGGGTTATAGAAGACTTCGTTGGCGCTAGGGAAGGCGATCTGGGCGGCCCCCTCGGTGACTGTCGTCTCCTGAGCCTCAAGTGGGCGCTCTTCTCCGCAGGGCTGGGTGCCATTCTCCATTGCCGCTGGATTTGGCGGCCCTTGGGACTGACCCTCCATAAACTGGGCTCTACAGAGACTGCGAGCAGAGCGCAAAGTCAGGCTTAGCCACAGAACGATCCTCGCACGGGACATTCACGGGCACCTCTGCCCGCCAAGCCTGGTTCGGAGGGCAGGGGAGGGGATAAGGGAAGGATCAGAGAGCTGCTTTCCCCGGCCGGGTGGCCTACACATCTGTAAAAAGTAGGAATTTAGGAGATCCTTTGGCCTCGGCAAACTGACATCACCCTAGGTCTTTGGAAGACTGCCCTTGCGAAGCCGGAAGCCCTCGAATGGGCCCGCCCCGGGTCCAGATCTCTCCCCGCGCCGCCTAGGCCTGCCTCACCTTCTCCCGTGGCACCGAGAACAGAATTAATCTCGGTGCACGTTTCCCGGATTAGGATCTGGGCGCCGCCATGTTGGCACAGTGGGAGGGCAGATCACGTGACAAAACTTAGTCAATCAGCGATGCTACCTACAGTGGGCGGCTGGGATCAAAATGTATGAAAGCCCTGAACGTGTTGTGTGGTGGCCTTAATCACTGCGGCTCCCCTGGGAGGGGACACGTCACTAGCCCCATTTCACGGATGAGGAAGGTGAGACTCAAAAAAGGGGCGGTAAGCGGAGAAATCCAACACCTATCGATCGTTTCCTGTGTGCCGGGTTCTGTAAACATTATTCAGGGCACCCTGCAGGAACAACTCAGGCTCTGAAGTCAGAATTACTGAGTTTGAATCCCAGCCCTACCACATGCTCTTGGAAAGTTACTTAAGCGTCTGGGCCTCATTTTCCTTACCTGTTAAATAAGAATCTTAGCTTCCAAGATAGAGCAAAGATTAAATGACAGAATGCCTGGCAAATGTGCAAAGTAGGCCCACTCATATAGTAAATCCTCAGTAGGTTCTAACTGGCGTGGAAAAGGGGAGCATGGTGGTCTGTACTGCCTGGGTTCCAGCTCGCCTTGCTACTTGTTCTTAACGGAGCTCTCTGCTGACGTTTCCCCATTTGCAAAATGGGCAAAACTTTTTAACGTTCGTTATTGGGATGTGATGAGAATTAAACGAGTTGGTGCAGGTAAAATGCTTAAAATGGAATCTGGCATCGCATAAGCAACATAAACGTAGTAACTTATTGTCGCTTCTTGAGCCTGGGTTTGAATCCTGGCACCCACCACTTCTTTGCTGTGTGATCTTGAGCAGGTTTCTTCATCTGTCTGTGCCTCTCGTTCTTATTTTCTATAAAGTGAGTGTGTGTGTGTGTGTGTGTGTGTGTGTGTGTGTGTGTAAAATAATTCCTACTGTCGACTGAAATAAATGCGCAGCCTAGAAGTTTAGAGTTGTTTTATTTGGCGGGAGGACTCTAGACGGGATGACAGCCTCTCAGATCGCTCTGAGGGACTGCTCCCAAGAGGTAGGGGAGGAGCTAGGATATCTTGGAGCTTTACAACAAAGACCAGGTAGTTGGAACAATAAAAGATTACTTGTTGTCTAAAGAAAGCCACGCATCTCAAGTTAAAAAATTTAGTGCTTTTATATGAATGGGAGGAAGCAAACATTTGGGCTCACTGAATTCATTCCTTTGACAAGCACCTAGCTATCTAGGGCCAGTATCCTGTCCTTTCTTATTCTGAGTCCGCTCAGAGGGCACCATTGTGAGTGGCTGCAGAGGCCAGGCTGTAGGCCCGACCCCACTGGGGGATGGCGGCAGCCGCTGATGACTTGGTTTCAGCATTCTTTGTTTACTGACATGGTTGCAGTATTTTCCTTCACACTACCTAAAGGTGTTACTGTGAAGTTTAAACCAGATAATCCGGTAAACAACCTTAACCAGTGCCTAGCATAAACAGGAGACATTATTTTTGCGTTTCTACAGGAAATTAAAGTTACGAAAGGCAGAGCGACTTGCTTCAGATCTCGAAACTAGAAGTTGGCGGGATTGGGATTCGAACTTTCCAGCAGAGTCGAGGTCCCGGCTGGGAGTTCGAGGGGCGGAGGGAGAAGAGGGAAGAAGGCGCGCGCTCGGCGCTCGGCTGGCCTAGCCTCGGGGGCGGGCACCTGGG